CTTCTCTGTTTTTGTTTTTGTTTTTGTTTTTTTTCTTGAGGATGAAGAAGACTGATGAGGATTATTCTTGTTTGATTTGTTATTGGCAGAGAAAACAGATCTGCCTTGTAAGCCTTTGACATTGAGGAGAAATGACCCCAAAGCAAGGGGTGAACGTGGAGAATTCATAAGTGTTTTGGGTAAGCACAACCTGCATATATTAAAGGTATAGTGCTTGGAACTCGGTGTTGAATGAATGCCTGTGTGAATGAACTGATATCGCTTGGCCATAGGTACTTGGACTTTATTTCCACTCTGTCTCTCTCAAGGCACATGCATAATCGTTAGAGAAAATGTGTAGAGGACAGATGCATTTTCCAGAAGCAGTGTATCCCCCTCCCACCCACCATAAATGGTGATTCAGTAATGCCAGGTCTGTGTTTTAGATGTTGGGCAATTCTGATTAGACTCCCACCTCCCCACCCTAGATGTAGTTAGAGACAATTGCTTCACCCAGAGAGAGGCATGGTCTATATCAGAACATGCTGACAACTACCAATTAGGCTGTCCATCAGGTATAACTTAACAGAGTGCAGTAATGGGCTTGTTTCTTTGGAGTTTGGAGTGTATGTGTTCGGGGAGGGGTAGAGATGAGGATAGCAAGCGGGCCAGCATATTGTTATATATAGAGAGGGGGAGACTAGCTTGCCTTTCCCCACTCTCACTCTCCTCTCTTAAGAGTTCTAGGTTTCCATATGTACCCCATCATCAGTGTCCTTAAAGACACATCAAACCATTACAATGTGTGTATCCCCCTAGAACTGAACAGGTAGAGGTAAGACTATGACAAGGGTTTCCATAACATCCATGGGATGGGGCAGGGTAGTGAGACGGAGAGAGTCATGATGAGGCAGGGTTAATGGGAAGCTTGTTGGATGTGCACTGTATTTCCCTGGAATGCAGGAGGTCAGAGCATGCATTTGGCCTATAAGAGGGGGGCTGTCTGTGTCTCCTGGGCAGGCCACTTGGGATGGACACAACACATCAACCGCACACTGTACCAAGTTGATTTCTGCCCAGGAACATTTCTGCTGATCTTAGAGATAAACCTTCCAAGATGCTAATAACCTAAGTGGCAGCTTCCTCTTCAGCCAAAATAAATGAAGAGTAGCCAGAGGGCAGAAAAGGAAACAGAGGGCAGGGGAGGATGTGTGAGGTGTGGGGGTAGATGGCAGGCAGAGGTGAAACAACACCCCACATCAGTTTCCTGTTTGGGAATTTGTTCTCCTTCTGGGGCCAGACACGACTCTTAGGTGTGGCTCAAGGAGAAGAGTGGAAGATGAGAGGTAAGCAAGATGAGATGCCTGCAGCGTGGAGCAGGGGAGAGAGGAGATAGGCTGAAAAGAGGAAAATAGGTCTAGTTTCCAATGGAGCACAAGGCCCTCGTGTTGGCTTGTTTTTGGTGTGGACTCCTTTGCAGGACTGAGTTTCTGAGGCTGATTTCAGAGGAAGTGAGTCATTGAAGATCTGGCTATACCTTGAGCAAGTTCATCCTTCCATCCTCTTATGTTATCACTGTGTCTGATGCTCAGAGTTCCAAAACAAGGATGCAGAAGGACCTTGCTTTAGAATCCACACAAATGTTTACTGGTTACTAGTTCCATGATATGCTCTATCCAGTGTTTGGATGGATGGGTGGATGGATGAGGTTCTGGTCAAATGAGATGAGGGGGTATTGCATAGCGATGTCCCTTTTGGAAGGTAAAAGAGCAAGGTAGCATATTACAGGCTCTTGAAAAGTCCTGCACTAAAGGAATTTATTGAACAGATCATTCTTCAAACTTCCCTGACTGAGGCATGCCTGCTCTGTCCCCTGGATTAAACAATCTACGTAGCCTTACAGGGTGGCTCTATTTCCCTACTCTTTAAATAACACTAATTAATGTCTTGAGAGATTCTTGCATTCTATGGGACATGGTTTAGGAAACACTGGATTAAGATAATGTTTTGCCCATCATGAGCATGCAAATAGCATTACTTCCACAGCATTAGTGGGCTAGAAAGTCTGAGTGGGGTTGACTTGTGTCAATGCACTCATCCATCAGTCCTGCCTGGAATCCACAAAATCCCTTTGCAAGATGGTTTCCTGAGATAAGGATGCAGCTTGTGGCCACAGACAGAGGGTGAGATTAGCTTTGGATGAGAATGCTATCCACAGCCAGTTTTCTTAGCTCAGTACTTAAAGGCTCTGGCTGTCCTTTGATCCAAGTAAATTCTGGTATTGGCAGGTAGTAGTGGAAATGCACTTTTAAATGTTTAAAGGCCGTTGATATTTAATACCATGTATATTTATACATATATACCCAAGGATCCTTCAATGAAAGTATGTCTTAAAATTGCAAAAGGACTAAATGATCCCCCAAACCTGTTTCTTATTTCTAAGTAATGAATACCCTACAAATCGTCAGTGTTTCTTGATTTGGTTCCTAGAACAGTGGTTCCCGACTTTGCTGCACACTAGAACCAAGCTTTTAAATTCTGATGGCTGTATTCCATTCCATTCCATTCCAACTAAATCACAGTGCTGCAGATGGGAACCAGACATATGAATTTTTAAAAGATCCCCGGTAATTCCAATATGCAGTAAAGTTGGAGGACTGCTGGTTTAGAAGCACTTTAGTTTCTGGACAGTTTATTATAACAACCATAACCTCTGTGAGAGGAACAGAGCAGAGAGATAACGGAGGTCCTAAGACATTAAGGAACATGATCAGGGTCACAAATCTGTGACAGATTCTAGGTAAGTGTCACTCCTTTGAATTTATTTAAGCCAAGTGCAGCATATCAGATGAGGTTCTGGAAATGGTGGGACAAGAGATGGGTTGGGGTGGGAAGGGCTGGGCTTGAAAACCCAGTGGATTGAACATAAGCCTTTGTGCCTGTAGGAGAAACAAGAAAGCCACTTCAATGTTATGCCTCCTGCCCCTCCCATCAATGCTGTTTCTGTCTGTAGACTGCTGGTTTGCATTTCATTTATAGGGAGACAAAAATGGAACCTTTGTGCCAGAGTTGAAGGAAATTATAAAAGCCCACAGCTTGTCTTCAGACTTAATGTCAACTATTTTTCTCCTTTATTTTCAAACAAACAAGTCCTCCCCATGAGTTCTGAGGCCATCTCAAACATTCCCTGCCTTGGGTTTGTAGTTTCCTGGTTCCTGCATCAGCAGGTATAGCAAAAACCTACTATTCTGTAAGACTGTTTATGAGCCACAGAAGACTATTGTAGGGGGTCCCGTGAGATATGGTGAGAGGCTTTGGGCAAGATGTTGGGTTATATGAATGCACGTGGGCATTGAAACAAACGGTTTGCTAAGAACTGAGCCTCTTTGAGGCTTTGGGGTTTATTAGCTAGAAACTTAGATGCAAGGATAAAAGTCCTTATCCAAACCCCCCAAATATCATGAATTCAAAACATTTCCCCATCATCTGGTACGATGGATGAATCCTATCATACATTTCCAAAAGTTCTGCTGCATGGCAGATAAGTCAAGAAATCTCTTCCTTTGGAGGTGAACAGGCGTGCTGGGTGAGCCCTGGGGTGACAATCTCTTCATTACTGGGGACTTGGGATAAGTGGTCTGCAATCCTGAGATCCATGGTGGGCCTTCGAAGGAGATATAGAACTTTCTTTTTTTGTTGTTCATTATTACCTGAAGTTGTAGGCTAGAGGTCCATGTGAACATTATTCTTCTCTAACCTCAGAAAAATGATACTGTGCATTCTCCTAAAAATTTATTGTCATGAAAGACTGCCACTAAGACAGAACAGTAGGGACTTCATAAGGCCTGGATCTGAGCAGGTTTGACAAAAAGTAACTTTAAAAAAAAAAAGAGTATGAATAAATGTTTAGGATGCGCTATCCTTTGTTAAGTGTGTTATAATAAAATGTTGACATTGGGAATAACTTACTTTAGAAATATAGTGGGATTTAAGGTTGGCCATGTAAGTAACATACTTCCTTGGTTAGGAGGAAAAAAATAGGTGGAAAACCTGGGAATTTGCTTATCTCAGGGGAATGTTTCACACACCAGCAGGTCAACCCCTGCAGATGCTGCAGTGGAAAGAAACACGTGGGATCATTATTCAGTTAAAGCAGCGTTACTCAGTGTGTGGTTCTCAGACCAGCAGCCTCCCCTGGGAGCTTCTTGGAAATGCACATTCCCAGGTCTCCCAAGCAGATCTGCTGAGTCAGAGTCGCAGGGTGGGCGGGCCCAGGTGTCTGCTTGAACAAGCTCTCCAGGCAATGTTAGTGTTCACTAAAGTTTGAGAAGCACTGCTCTAGACTGGAGGTTCTCCAAGTGTGATCTCCTGACCCATAGCACCAGCATCACCTGGGAACTTAGGAAAAACCATCTGAGACTTTCTTCACTGGACATTCACAGATGTTGGTAGAAATGTTCCACGGCATTTCAAATGTTCAAGGTCCACAGAGATGGCCAGACAGAACTTACAAAATAACGAATTCTTGGCTAAAAATTCCCAGATGCACATTTACCAGTCTTAGAACTGGAAAGGACCTACAGAGACCTCCTGGACCTGTTTCCTGTCACTAGGGGTTAATAATAAAACCTCAAAGATGGTCAGCATTTCCCTCCCCACTAATGATTTAGAACGTTGATGGTCGAATCAGGAACTCTGGAGGTGGGGCTCTGCACCCTGGGTTTTAACAAGCCCTCTAGACAGGTGCATCCTACAGTTTGAGAACCACTAGACCACACTTCCCATCAAACTGCCCACAGGTGTGATCACCTTCCCCGAAATGCTAGCTGAGAAGTGCAGCCAGGAGACAGAAACTTGGCCCAGTAACATGACCATGCGTGGATGCTGGTAGAGAAAATGATGTTTACTTTGACCTCTTGTGTTGAGCCCACGTAGCCCCTCCCCAGCTCCGTGGAAAGTGCGTCCTCTTCTCTCAGTTCACTCTGTGCTAGCCCTGGCTAACAAGTGTTATTTTTCCCAAGGTCTTTGGGCCTTCGATGTGAAGAACTCTTTAGTGATGGAGGTGATCGATGCACGAAAGATAAAGACAGAAGAAGGTAGGGCTTGGGACCTTAGCAATGGGAGCTCCTGCTGCGAGCTGCGAGCTAAAGCTGAGAGATCTGGGGTGGGGAGACATAGAGGTGGGGCTCGGGGTGGCACTCTTGTTATGCAGGTAGAAAGTATACAGCATGCCGGGGGCATGAAGGAGGACTTGTTGCTCATTTTGTTCCAGACAAATATAGTTTCACCTCTGCCAGATACAAGAAAATGCCTCAACCTGCAAGATACTTTGTATTTTTTTAAAAACTTTATTTATTTATTTATTTTAAGATTTTATTTATTTATTTGACAGACAGAAATCACAAGTAGGCAGAGAGGCAGGCAGAGAGAGAGGGGGAAGCAGGCTCCCTGCTGACCAGAGAGCCTGATGCAGGGCTTGATCCCAGGACCCTGAGATCATGACCTGAGCTGAAGGCAGAGGCTTTAACCCATTGAGCCACCCAGGCGCTGCTTAAACTTTATTTTTAAGTAATCTCCATGGACCCAACGTGGGGCTTGAACTCACAACCCCTAGACCAAGAGTCACGTGCATACTCTACTGACTGAGCTATCCAGGCACCCTGAGATCTTGGCATTTTGGGTTTGCTTGGAGGAGACGAAGAAGAACCATCGAGTCTGCATTTGGAAGCTTCAATGTGCATTTTTTTTTTTTTTAATTTAGTGAGAGGTGATGTCACACATCTTGCCTTAGGCAGAATAATATACAACTTTTGCAGGGAAATGAAGCCTTTCACAACACATTCTTTACTGACAGATCTATCCCTAGATGAGCTCCAGCTCCCGAACATCCACAAGGCAGCCTGGGAATAACTGTATGATCTGTATTTTCTCTGATTATGCCCAATGATAGTGTTTTTCATGGAATTTACATTGAAGATGGCAAGATCAACCTTTTAACTTCCTTGCCTCCCAAACCCCTATTGAAATGACCAAAGTATGCATCATTTGAGAAAACAAGGAATGTAGCACCATCAGGAGAGAAATCATGAGGCATTTCTGCTAGACAGAGTGAAGTTGTGGAGGGAAGAGGGAGGGAATGACCTTCCCATGATTTGGTATCTACAAAGGAAGAAGCTTGTTAAACTCATAAATAGAATTTTCTAAGAAAGCCTCCCTACCCCAAATACTCAAAACTTCTGGCCAGCACTATAGTGAAAAGCTTATAGATTTCTGAGCACATTAGATTTGAGTTCAAACCCACCGTTCACTAGTTATGCAAGCTAGTTGGCCTCAAGCTCATCCTCAGTTAACTGGGGGATTAAACAAAATAGTACAGGAAAGGAGACATAGCCAAAATGTTCATAGTTACCATTTACTGATTATTATGTGCCAGGTACTGTGCGAAAAGCTTTACATTTCCTTTAACCCACAAAAGGCTCTATGAAATTGATTATATTCTAACCATGATTTTGCACTGAAAGCAACTAAGGTTTAAAAAGGCTAAGGGGTTCCCCAGGTTCACAGGGATTGCATGGGTATAGAAGGAATTTGGGCTCAACCAGTCTAATTGCAGAGCCCATGTTTTCAGGCCCTAAGCTGAACCATTCCAAGCCCTTAAAATATATTGCTTTATTTAATCCTTACAGTGGTCTCTTGGTAACAACTTTTGTTGGTAGAAAAGAAATAGAAGGTCTGAAGCCTTATACAAAGGTCTGAAGCCCAGCCTGCTGGACTCCCAAGTTCCCCACCCTTTACCACCATGCTGTTTTTTAATTGATATACCCCATGGAATGTCATTCAATCTCCCATCTTTGGCTTTGATTTTATTCTCACTGAATACAAGGGTTGTAAGACCAATTATGCATGACGGGGAAAAGTTCAAAACGTGGTCCCAATACCCTCCAGTTCTTCAAAGAACTGGATTATTGTAGACAAGCTCCTGTAAATCACCTGTCTTTCTCTTTGCTGGTAGAACTCACAGAGAACATCGGGCTTCCCCTGTGTGTGCTTGAGAAACACAATCCTTGGCCAGCCTATGTGACATATATGTCCCCGATGGTGAAGAGACTCATTGAGAAAAGCAAAGCTAGAGATCTGGAATGCGCGCAGGCACTCGAGGAAAGCCAACGGACATTGAGGCAGAACAAGCTGGCCAGCATCACGCAGCTGAAAAGGAAAAAGTCATCTAAGGGCCCTGGAAACTTGATGTTGAAGGACATGAGGTCAGAGACCATGTTATCAGTGTGGAGCTCCTACTCCGTACCGGCCACAGGTCCCACCGCTATGCCAGAGCCAAGGCACTTCCATACGGATTCCAGAGAAAATCCCACTGCAAACTATAACAAGATCATCTTCTCTCGAAAACCCATGATGAGGCTGCTTCCGTACAGCTCCCTTCTAGTCAGCAAAGAGAAACATTCAAGTGTTTAGCAGGGAGCCCCTGCAGTCATCTCCACCCCTCCACCAAGATCGTACAGTAATTAAGCTCCATGTGCTGCAAATTTCCCTATGTCCTTTAAATGTGAACTTGTCCCTGCTTGTGCAGAGGTTGGCTGAGATAAACCAGATCTGAATGTGGGCCGTGGGTGGGCAGGTATACCCCCTCCAGCATGACAGTCAGATGGGGTTGGGAAACCCCACGCCCCAGTTCCTGCCATATATGCTTAGAACCTAACTGAGGATGAATGAGTTCCATTCCAGGCAGGACACAGAAACCACACCGGTTACTAAACCAGAGGTAATCCAATAGAAAGAATTACTAACCAGGTAACTGGAAAGGTGGGATGAGAACCCAGTGGTATTAGTGGAGGCAGCCACGTGCAAGGAAGCAGTTTTCCCAAGGCTGGGGGAGCAAAGGCAAGATATTGGACTTATTAAAAGTTAGGCATTTGGAGAGTGGGCATGTGGGCTCAATTTCAGATTTTTGAGACTGGGCAGGGTGGGGGATACTCCTCAGTGGGTTCTGGTGTCCTTGAGCTTGGAGGAAATTTCCAGCAGGGAGGGTATCTCAGTCTCTGTGGAGGGGAAGCGCGTTGGCTGAGGTTGATTCTGGGATGGTTGAGAAAACCAAAAACTGGACTCAAATGCTTCTGGAAGGAATTGACCCTGCCTGAGAGAACAAGAAGCGTTGCCAGTGGAAACAGACAGGGACAGGAAGCCACCAGAGGGGTAAATAGGAAGCAAACCAGGAGAGAATTCCTTCCTCCCCTTCCAGCCTCGCTGCCCCATACCCGCTATGGGCAGAAGCTATCAGGGAGGAAAGCAGGAATGTGGTTTGCAGAATCCTGAAGGCCAACATCTCAGCGTTGGATGAAAGGATAGACTTGAAGCCAGGAATACATTAGCTTCAGAACTAGCACGCTGGTGTTCTGAGTGAGCCCACATTGCTCCACCAGGCACCTGAACTTGGAATTGAGATGTTTACTCCTTGGTGGGTTTACAAAGCGGCAGTCGGGGCGTGAGTGTCCCCTGCTGAGAAACGGAGGATTTCCTCCCCTGTACTACTTTAAGGTTTGCCTTGTGGAGTCGAGTTGGCAGGGGAGAAGTTCCTGGCTGGACACCAGCTGTAATTTGTCAGACCACACTTAGCACTGGTCCATCCGTGCTCTGGGCAGTTCCCAATTGGCCCCAAAGCAAGTGATGTTAAACTTAGTCTCAAAGCGGACAGGCTTTGTCTTTAGATGCAAGGGGAATCTGGTTATGATAGGGAGACCTAGCTGATGTCACAACTGGGGTTTATCTATTGACTATAGCATGCCTCCATTGGTAGCTTCACCTGAATTTCTGTATTTATATTCGTGAAGCAGTTGATACGCATCTTGCTTCCCTAACAGACGTGTAGAGGCAAGTTGCTATAAATGCCATTTGAAGAAGTCAAGTTTGCCCTACACATGCATTCTCTCCATACAGGAATCTTGCAGAAATTTTGGCACTCACCTCTGGCTGCTGTGAGTAGCGTTGGGACAGCTTCACAAATTAGGAGCCCTGGACCCATTCCTGGGTTGCCAGGTCTTGGCCAGAATGAATTCTTGCAAAAATATAGGTGGTTTCCAGTGAATGTGAATGACTGTATTTCGTGTCCGGGGATCATTTATAGACATGGAAGCAGGTGGTAAATTCCTCCCAATGAGAATTTTTCTCTCTTCTCTCCTTTCATGGGAGTTTAAAGCCAGAGTATATTTTGGGTAGATTTGGGAGTAGATTTGCCTGTTCTGGGAGCACAGGGATGTCTCTCAGGTTCTCATGAGCAAAGCTAGTTTCAGCAAATGTCTAACATTGAGTGTTAGAGTTTATCGAGATTTGGGATTATTTCTTCCAATCCCTCTTTGAGGGCAAAGCAGTTACTTTTTTTTTTTAAGTTTTTTTTTTAGGTGTTTAATAGTTTTTACAAAAGTATCTGTATATTCTCTAAATTAAAATGATGGTTTTACAGGTAACAGTGCTTAGATTGAGTTGATTCTCAACCCATTATAACAACAGAAGCACGAGTGGAAGGACATTATTAACACCTTACGTTGTGATGAAAATTGCTTGTATCTGGGACTCTAGTCCAGCCACAGTGCCTCCTAAGACAGTTTTAAGAAAGAAAAAGCCTAATTCCTTTTGAAATGGGGGACTCTGTTCGAGCCCAAACTGGGGTTCACAGGCCCAGCCACCACACAGGGATTTGACCAGCTGTGACTACATTTGCATGAGCACTGCAGGAAAGACCCAGTTCAACAAGACCAGCTGGACCCAGTCATGAAGCCTCCACATTGGGGGAGGGAGGGTTATCCTCAGTAATCCCTGTTGCTTAGATTGTCTTCTGCTCCAGACCTCCCTGAGCGTGATGGAGGTGGGGAGCAGTGAGTCAAAATCCTCCTAAAAGGCTCTTTTGCTAAAACCCTAGAAAGCCCTGAGTATGCACAGAAAGGGAGGGGAGAGAGTTTCTTGATTTCACAACACCCCAGCACGCAGGATCCCACTGCCCTGGGCCTGCCAGAGGCCAGTGGATGCTTGGCGGCACCAGCTTTGTTCATGAGAACCTGAGAGAGATTCCCCGTGCTCCCAGAACAGGTGTGCAGCCCTGTTGAAATCTGAAATCTGACCCGAGCAGGTGGGGCATGGAACAGAATGGGGATTCTCCTCACGGAAGCTCATGGGCCTGTCCAAGCTGGAGGGGCCTGGGCTATCTCCAGTTCCTCTGAACATATTAAACTTCCATCTCTAAGAGGGGACAAGAGAGCTAGAGACTAGAGACTAGCTCTCTCTGATGTTCCACAGATGGCAGCCTCTAATTTATCCCCGTGGCATCTGGAATTATTCTATTTGGCAGGAGAGCCGTTTCCCTTAGTCTCCCTGCCATGGTCGGTTTACAAAACACCGGAATCCATATTTTGTTGCCCTTTCTCCGTTGCTCTGTAACCAAGGCCTCCTCCTGACACATACTGAGTAGCTGTTTTAGAACAAATTCTTTGGCTCCTGCGCTCAAAATGGTATTTACCCATTTGCAAATTCCACTGTTGGTGTTTAAACAGTAATGCTTGACCTCGGCTGCTGGCCGTTTTCACTCTGGTGGGTCTGTAAGGACATCAGATGTCCGCATGCTGCAATGTCTCAGCCGTGGCCCGGGAGCACGTCTTGAAGATTAGGCTGCTTGGCAAATAGGATGCTGCCGGAAAGCTCTCCAGGAGCTTAACTACATAAACCTGCCGGCACAGGTGTGTCCGAGCCAAATATCTGAGGGTGGTCTGGGAGCTCTCTGATTGGAATGGGATGCCTGGTGGGACCAAAATGGAGGGGACTTCAAGAGTGGTGGACTTTATTAACAGCCCATGTGGCCAGCACAGCATAAGAAGCTAATCCTCCTTTCCTTGACCCAAGGTCCTCAGGTAGGACCCACAAAGACCTCACATTGGTCCCCCTTAAGTCATTTTGTCAGGACATGGAGAACAAAGCATGGGGACCCTGAGGTAGGGATTTTGACCCTTGGGCTTTGATGAGGGTCCTTGGAGATAGCCGAGAAGTCTCATGGAGGAGGAGATACAGCACAGGAATCCCAACCAGGGATGGACAGCGTCTGTGTGGAGACAGAAAACCAGAAGCAGCAGGAATCCCAAGCCTGCAGCCTCGCTCCATGGGTCAACAGAGGTGGTAAAATGGTCATAAAAGTGCTTTCTTTGTGAGATGTGTGTGAGCAAAGGGACGCATCTAGACAATGTGGCTCTTTTCAGCCTTGGCTGAGTCATTCATTCCTAGAAGCTTTTTGGTAGCCCCAGCCTTCACGACTGACCGCACATTTTTAGAGCCCGCACTTTATCGGTGCCAGATAAGAGAGGACAGAAAGAGAGAGGCGTGGGGGAGATGGTGGGAGTAAACAGGGACCTGAGATCTGCTGTGATCCTGCGTCCTCAGAACAGGGACTGAAGCTCAGGCCTGGGTTTATGTTTGTCAAGTAATCCGGAAATCCTTCCTCTTCCTCCCTCACCACCCCCTCCCCCATCCCAATCTTTTGCTTGGGACCCAGAGCCTCAGCCAGCTCCTTACTGTGTCCCAAAACTGTCAGGCATGGCTGGGCTGGGCATGTTCCCGGAGTGAGCAGGCATGTGCAATTTCTCTGGGGCTTTGGGGGTGGGGTGCCGTCAAGGCCAGCAGGAATGCAGGAACACCTCAGTTTTAGCTGGAATCCACTGCCACCCCCATACGGCATGACACAACCATGACGCGATTTCCATATGGGACAGGGCAGAATAAACAGTGCCATGAAAAAGATACTGGACTTCATGTCGAGACCCCCATCTCTTCTCCCAGGCTTTCTATTCCAGGGCAATAAGAATTCTCACCCTACCAGAAGCCCTTCTAGGAAGTGTATCTGGGGCCCTTCAAGACTCCTGGAATCAACTCGCTTCCTGTCTAGATTCAGTTGTTCAGCCACCCAGAATGTTGCATTATTTGGAGTAGACAAGAGTTGTGGGAAGACACAACATTTCAGGCAACCCACCTCAGTGGAATCATTTCTGTGTGCCTGCCAGCTGGGAAGACTCTTGTGGAGAGTGAACATAGTACCAGACAGACAGCTGGAAAGAAGTTTGCCCCGAGTGTGCCCTGAGTGTGCTCACACTTTTGGGTGCTACAGCTTGTCCTTGTCCATTTTATTCTCCATAGGATTACATCCTTGCTTGCCTAGCTGGCTAGCTAACCTTCGGGTAAGTGAACTCCTTTGGGATGGGAACCTGGGCTCCCAACTCCAAGTCGGGGTTGCTCCCCTGTCCTCACATCCTCTCCTCTATCCTTGAGGCTGTCCTGCTGCTGTACCCTCAAGCTGGGCAGATGTGTTTGGCTGTTGGTTGCTGACCCATGGATTCAGCTATGTCACCCTCTCTTGTGAAGCAGCCTTTACTGGAATCGCCTCCACATGGGGCATACTTCCTCAGAGCCCATTTGCTGTGTGCCGCTGGAGCAGCAGAGCCTGTGTGGAGAGTCTGAGAGTGCCGTGAGATCTGGACAAGGTCAGTCCCACTGTCGTACTCCCAGAGCCTGGCACATAGTAGGTGCTCAACTATATCTTGAGCAGATGATTTACAACAGCAAATCCTAACACCTGAAACAAAAAGGTCCTGAGAAGAAGTGGTTTCTTTCATAATGTCCAGAGGCTGGAAAAACCACTTGACCTGGTTTTGTGCAAAGCTTGCATTGAGTAGGCAGCTTTGCTCTAAAGTTCCTTCTAGTCCTGGTCCTACGATTCAGGAAAAGAATGCAGCACGTACCTCTCACGTGCCCTTCCTGATAGGATACTGGAGGGTCAAGAGGCAATTTCTTAAAACTGAAT